TAATATATATATATATATATATATATATATATATATATATATATATATATATATATATATATCATTTTTTTGAACATGTGCAAAGATATATACGAGCCACCGAATCAATTCGTAACAGGAGACCACGTAGCGTGTAATTATTGTGAGAAATCGCAAATACCGATTATCGCACGTGCGACTGTGTCTATATGCACATATATGTTTGCAAAATATTTTGTCGTTCTTTTTTGGGCGGACACGCTTAAAAACTGGTGTATAGATGATATATGAAAGATATGCTTGCATAGATCAACACTATGGATTTAGAGAATTACTATCGAAATCGTTTAAAGAAAGCGATGTCAGTCCAAGTTAGAACAGTAAAGCAACAGCGTCACGATCTGCCAGAATGATATTATTAAACGCGATCGAATCAGCCAAAAAAAAAAAACAAAAAAAAAATGAGCCATCGAGTGTACGCATACCGCGCGTTATAACGTGCTCCATGATGCACGTGTTTCTAGATGCGATTTATACGTAGGCAAACTCGCGTGAGAAAGTAGTTTTATCTATCTTACACGCACACATGACAAATGTAAAAACAAAGCAAACAAATAGGCCTCGTTAATGTTTATGAAGAGAAAGATCGAAGATAGGATAATACAAAATCTGAATTGTTGTCTCAAACAAAATGCTAAATAAAAAGAGAGAAAAAGAAGAAATATATAAAAAGAGAAAGAAGCAGCCGTGGCATATGTATGTACGCGTGCGCATGCGCGAGCGAGCGACATACTGTGTATGTGTGTTTATATATGTATATACATATATATATATATATATTTTTACTGTGTAGATATTTTTTGGTAACTTGTTACAATAATCTTATTAGTTAAGCATATATATATATATATATAATATATATATATATATTATAAATATATGTTGTAAATAATAAAAATAATAGCTGAAGAGAAAGCTTCTGCCTGTCATTATGATCCGAATATTTTCAATAGGATAAATGAATCAAAATGGCATTTTGTTAACCGTTTTAACGGAAACGTTAAACAAATTTTTTAACAATTAAATAGGCTTCTTCAATGACTGGCGATTTATTCGTGTTTCTTTCTCTTTCTCTGTGCCTATACGAGATATCGATACGATCGTATTCTATCTGCAATTATTCAACGACTGTGTCTGATATATGCGCGTACAACCTTGGTTCCGTTATCCATGATCCGTAGATCATATGTACATAATAAAAAAAATAATATATTATTATTATTATTATTATTATTATTATTATTATTATTATGATAATTATTATTATATACTCTTATTATCTTTATTATTATTATTATTATTATTATTATTATTATTATTATTATTAAGTCTTCAAAATTATTTGATATGAAAAAAATCGAGTCTACGTATCAAGTAAAGCGAAAGCAAGTTGTATTCAATTTTACTTTATATTGTATTCTATATTTATAATATTTATTACGTTTTTTCATATGTTGATGTAATAAAGTTTAGGTATATACTTTGCAACTGTTACTTTTTTGCATTTTTTTATTCTATCTAATTTTGATCGAAAATACATTTATCTCGTTGTTTTTTTTTTTTTTGTAAATAAATATTTTTCTTTGTGCGCATTATTAAATTAAAGGCATCATTATATTTCATTGCTTAGTGAAAAAAAAAAATTTACGATCAGAATTATTATTATAATAGATTTATCTATTTATTTAAGCAAAATTTTATTTTCAAGTACATATCGAATTATTTTCAATTTTCATAATAAATGGAATATTTAATCTATATATTCATTTATCTTTTTGCATCAAATTTAACTCATTTAATCCGGATATCTTAATTTCATAATTTTTCATGATTTTGTTAATACAATATCTTTATACATCAAATATATACTTACATACATATTTACCAGGTATGTATATAATACGTTATATACGTTAAATTTTATATTTACAAGTGACATATAAATCATATTGTTGAAATTTATGCAAAAAGTATTCTTGAGATTGTCAAATAGAGGATATACAATAAAAAATAATAAATCATCCCTTGGTTTTTTATCTTTTAACCCCTATATACTTTGAAAATTCAATTTCACGTTATTGTATCGATATCACTTTTGATTTTCGTCCCATTTCATCCCATTGACGATCTTCGTGATAGTAATCTGCAATATTTTTCAGACATGTATAAGGAAAATTTGCGAGTAAAAATTTACAAAAAACCTTTCACGTTCGTTGATTCCTTGATTTTGTTAAAGATGAGTATTTTTCGATATTCATATTGAAATCGATTTTATTTAAATTGGTACAGGCAAGTACCGTTCTTTTTCGATTTTTAATCATGAATTGGTTAACTAAAACGTAAAGAGAGTGATCATAGGAAAGTACTATATATGTGTGTATATATATGTATATATATATATATACATATTATATATATATATCACGTAAAATTTTTTTTACGGAAATAAGATAAATACTTGTTTTTCCAAGTAATAACGTAAATCTAAAAAAAAAAAAAAAAAGACAAAATGACGGATGCAGAGAGGAAAGTGGCTATCGCAGATGTTCCAGGTACATCTGGCGAGGGCGATGCCCAGCCTAGAAAGAAGAAACGATACGAATTGGGAAAACGATGGCACCGATTCCGCGTTTTAACGCCAAATTCGGCGATTCTACGCGGCTCGTACGCGATGACCGATAAACACTTCAAATACAGAAGCCGTGGCCGGCAAGCCGCCCCTGCATCGATCGTAGCCATCGTCTACGGGCGTCTCTTCGAACCGAAGGAGTGGATGAAAGAATACGTCGATCAAATATTAGAGTACGGTGACAAAGTGTTTCGCACCAGCGTGATGAGGAATCAAGTGAAGGAGAGCGAATACATGAAGAGCAGCCTGGTCCATCCGGAATTCTACATCGCCAATTACAAAATTTTAGTTTGCGTCGAGGAAACGGGAATTTACGGAAATCTGTTCAGCGAAACGATCGGGTGCCCTGACTTTGCCGACGGGTTGCAAAAATTCTTCAAGAACAACGATGCCGGGGTGATCACGGCCCAGGGGACTTCGATGGCTATGTGGCGGCATCCCGAAATCGGTTTCCTCTTCTTCGACCCTGCGCCCTGCGACGAGGAAGGCATTCACCATCCAGACGGTGTTGCCTGCGTAATGAGATTCAAATGTTTGAACGACATCCGCGATCACTTTCTCAAGAACATGGACCCCAAGTACGATTCCAGATACTGTATCGACAAGGTGACGGTATTGAGGGTGAACGAGGTGGGCCGAGGATACCTCGACCGTTTGCCAAGCCCCACTCGCTTGCACGTGGACCGAAACGTGCTGAGATCTATCAACCCTGTCGACATCGATGAGAACAAGATGGACTGTACGAAACCAGTGCCGAAAGGGGACAAAATGAAAACCATCATGCAGGCCAAGATCCACAAGGAGCCGTTGGCGATCACTATCTCGAATTTCAGCATCGACAAACGTTTCGCCACCGACCCACTCGTCGACCAGAACAAATTTGACACCGGCTACACTTACGAGGACATGCACGTGAACGTGCCGTCCACGTTCAGAGAGCTCCCCGGCAACATGGCGATCCTTCACGGCTTGACCCACGAGCACAGCGAGATGTACAAGGGAAAGGGGGCGCAAAATGTTGCCAATTGCGTGATGGCCATCGCCATGAAAAAGGTTCACCCGGTGAAAACTTGGCTGAGGCCGAAATTGGACGAGATATTGGCGTTGGGCGACACCGTGTACGCCGAGGTGAAGTCCGCCAAACCGATGATGAAGAACATGACCGCCCCCGATCTAAACGACACGAAAATTGACGTGGAGGGAAGGAAGATAGTTATAGACGTGGATCTGATCACGGTCACCGGCACCCTCACCTCGAAAATTCCCACGGTGTTGAATCTGAAGCAAGCGTTGGAAGAGTTCTTCCTGGTCAACACCGAAGGCGTGATCGAGTCCTCCTCCATGTCTGTCGCGATATGGAGCCAGGACGATTATTTCTACATGTTCGATCCCCGCCAGTGCGATTCTATCGGGACCAGGATACGGGAGGAGAAGGTGGCGAGAGGCGCCAAGGCGGAGGATTCCGAAAGGAAGAAGGGAAACTGTTGCGTGATAAGATTCCCCACCACAGACGCGTTGGCCGCGTTATTCGTGAAGAACGTGGAACAGCATAAGAAGAACGACCGTTTCACCATCAGGCACATCACGATCCCGGATGATATCCCCGGGACGAGGGCGTGGCACGATTTTCAGCCTGGAACAGCGGGCGAGACGTGGGTCCTTCAGGGGACAATATCGAACGAGGACGAGGAATTCGAGGACGAGAGCCGGGGGATTCAGGGATTGGCCATGCCAGTGATTGCGCTCATCAGCGCGAAAGAGACACCGCCTCAAAAGTGGATCAACGACACTGTCGACACCATAGTCCGAGAGGGGGACGTTTACTACAATTGGTGTAATCCAATCGTGGAAGTGGGCGAGGATGTGGAGCGATACTTCTTCGTTTCGAACTTGAAGAAGAACCTGTACTTTAAGAACAGGAAGGTGAAGATCGACGTGGAGGAAGGCACCATCACCGGGGATTTGACCTCGCCGCCTAACAGCGACGTCCCGAATCTGAACGACGCCCTGAAACGTTTCTTCGAGGAGCATCTTTACGGGATCGTGGACGTGAAGAACTTGGCCGTGGCCGTGTGGAAAGTCGACGAGGAGGTGAAGCACAAGGACGACATATTCGTGCAAACCGCGTATTACTGCTTCGATCCCAATCCTCGAAACAGGCAGGGGCTTTGGGCGGTGGAGGAGGAGGAGGAGGTAGAAAACGCGGCCTGCGTGATTAGAACGTTGGATCTGTCCGTTCTGGCGAAAATAATCGAAACGAACGCCGGCCAGGATCCTGAGACCAGCAACGAGTTCTCGATTCATAACATGAAAGTGGTCTCGATCGGTTCCGAGATGACCGAGGAGGAGATGGAGGCGGACAAGCAAATCCCCGTGAAGCCTGACTTGAACAATTATCTCAACATGGGCGAGACCGGGGCCATTTTATTAGGAAGCTTCAACCAGGCCAACGAGGTGATATTCAAGAGGCACAGCAGGGACAAGCAGCAATCGGGAAGCGCTTTGGCAACGTTGGGGATGACCAAATTGTACAATCCCCACCTCTGGTACAGGGAGGTGGTCGACGATATACTCAAGATAGGCGACAAAATCACCATGGACAATTTGGAGAATCTGCCGGAGGAGGAGGAGGAATCACCGAGGACCTATCTTCTTCCCAGCGAGATCAGCGAGGATTTCGCGGTCGGTGTGAATCGGATGTACGTCACCCTCGAGGAGGAGACAACGTCCGGGAAGACTACCGATCTGCCATCGGCGTTGGAGACGTTCTTCGAGACCAATGCCATGGGTATATTCAGGCAGAACCACGTGATAATGCCGTTCTGGAGGGAGGGCGAGGCGTTCTTCATGATGGATCCCAAGGGGAGGGACACGAGGGGAGAGCCCAGGGAGAAGGACGGCGCGGCTGCCGTGATGTGGTTCACCGACATTCCGTCATTGGCCGCCGCGATTCAAACGGTGGCCACCGGCGAGGATTTCGTGATCGACGTTGTCACCATGGACAACGCGTACGAGACACGCGTGGCCGAGGAGGAACGGCCGGCGAAGCCCAGCTCCGGGGACAGCCTGTGGTATCATTTCCCTAAGATGACCGAGGGCGTGTGGAGCATCGACGGCACGATTGCCATGGACGACGTTAAATTCGAGAAAGCGAACCGAAACAACCAAACTGCCGCCATTGCGGTGATGGCGATCGTGTTCGCGAAGGTGTACGAGCCAAGGTATTGGACGCAGGCGGTCCTCGACGAGGTTATAGTGACCGGGGACAAACTGCACTCCAAGTGCGTGGAGAGGCTCGGCCAGGGGGCCGTGCTTAGGATCAACGACATAATGACGGAATTTTTCCTCTCGAGTCGGCGGATCAACCTGAGCATCAAGGACTGCGTAGAGGCTGGCAGCCTCACCGCCAAACCGCCCAAGGTTCAAGATCTCAGGACGGGGATAATCAACTTCTTCTCGAGGTACAACTCGGGGGCGCTGACCGTTGGCAAGAACAGGAACATAGCTATTTGGAAGTCGTTCAACGATTACTACGCTTTGATACCCGACTGGGTGACCGGTCCCGAGGACGCGAGGATCGTGAGACCGAAGGTGTTACGTTTCATCAACATCGCGACTTTCATCGATTATCTGAAAAATTTCCTCGGGACCGAGGGGGATTACGAGATGATCGCCATCGACGTGGTCAATTGGAACAAGCTACCCCCGTGGAAGTTCGACCCGAGCTCCGCCGTGCGCCCCTCGAACTTGCCTCCGTTGAACGCCTACAGGAGAGTGCGGGGCGAGGCTCGGGCACTTTTGAGGGGCAGCTACCACCAGGGCGACGAGATTTTCCCGGAACAGCTGCGTAACAAACAGGGGGCGGCGAATTGCGTGGTCGCCCTCGGGATGTCGGTGGTGAAGAATCCGGTCACTTGGACCAAGAAGACCATGGACGAGATCCTCGCGATCGGTATCAACGTGCACAGAGCGACGCAGAAGGCGAAGCCGACCCTGGTCCGGGTGAAACCGAAGGACATCATCAGGGTGTTCTACGTGGGGGTCAATATCCTGACGGCCGACATAGAGTCGGCCACGGTGGCCGGTATAGTCGCGATGCCGCCCCCGGATCCCGAGGACAAAAAGAAGGTGCGAAAGCCGACGAAGCGGGCGGTGGACAGAAGGAGGACAAGGACCAGAAGAGTTCTCAGAGTTCGAGCCCCGCCGCCGCCCCCGATCCTCCTCGAGCAGGGCATCCCACAGTTCTTCGAGAAGAATCGGGCCGGGATCTTGGTGACCGATCGCGGAGCGGTGGCCATCTGGAAGGACATGGGCATCTACTTCATGTACGATCCTCGCGCGAGAAGCGATCAAGGCTTGCCCGACTTCTACGGCACCTCTTGCGTCATGTGGTTCGCCTGCCTGGAACCGCTCTACGAGGTTATGTTCGCGAACATCGACGAGCAAGACAAATACGGCCGCTACGAGATCTGCAGAGTGATCATCAAGACCGCCATGATCGAGCCTCTGCCGTGCCCGGCCGGTTTCAGATCCTACTTCGACTGCACCACTCCCCTCATCCCGGTAATGTCCATGAAGAGGAACACCACGCTCGACGTGGAGACGGTCACCGATTACAACATCGTCGACGAGGAGCTCAGCATCCTTCTTGGAACGCTGCACATGCACCATCGGATCTGGAATCCGGAAACGAGAGGTTTCCAGAGTACGGCGATCGCCGCTGTAGGCATCGTGGTCGGCCTTCTCCACGTCCCTTCCACGTGGACGCCCGAACTGATCGACGCCATTCTCAGATACGGCGATTTTTTACACTCGGACAGCGTGCGGGCTACCCGGCCCGGGAACAGGAATTTATCGCCCAGCGAGTTGTTAACCGTCTTCATCGTTGGCGACTTTAGAGCCACTATACACGTTCATAACCATACAACGGCTGGTTTGCTTCACGCGTTCGATCTGTCCGAATCTTTGACCATGTTCTTCCGCTCGAACTGCGCCGGGATCCTTCACACCACCAATATGGCGGTCGCCGTGATGCAGCATTACGGCAAATTTTATCTGTTCGATCCTTGCGCGAGGAACGATCAAGGAAGGCCAAGCTTCGATGGGGCGGCCTGCGTGATGAAGTGTGAGAACATCATGAAGATGGCCAGGATGTTCGTGACCAATTGCAATCTAAAGACACCGAACGTGTACACGTTGAACGCCGTGAACGTGTTGAGCTTGTACTTTTTCTCGGACGCGAAGACCGGATGTCCGCCGAAATGCATACAATAAGAGAATAAAGATTTGTCTAATTTTTTTGTTTTCCTTTTTTTTTTTTTTTCCTTAGACTTGATATAAAAAAAAAAATTTGACGTTATATATATTATAATAAAGTTAATTTGATCGATTTAGTAGAAACAATCAATGATGATGGTGGTGGGTCGGATGGTGAATGTATTAAAGAAAAGACAAACAAATTCTCAGAAGACTAGTACTTTTTATTTTTAAATTTTTTATTCCATTTCTTCTTCGCTTACTCTCTCCTGAATTTCCCGCGAATCGTTTAATATAATATAATCGGAAAAAAGTACTCTGGTCGCAGCTCTCTCTAGGCGAGCATCGGTCTAGAAACTGTCGCTTATGCGACTTCCAAGAGATGGGGATAATACCGATAATCTCTCTACTAATCGTAGCAAAAATTTACCCTGTTACGTGTTAAACCTGTTCTTTGTCCAAAGATCGATCGTGTCGTTCAAGTCGATTATGAACGAAAACATCGATTAATTACATTACAACACAAACATTGTCCCAGCAGCGATAATTAATAAGTATTTCGATTATTTCTATTTCGAACGGCCGTATTGATTTCCGTGCAAAGAACGGGCAAGCAGAGGTGAAACAGTCAATGAATCCACGCGGTCGACAACATTCTCAAATTGCTAATTTTATTTATAGGTTTCTTTATGACACAAATCACTTTTAGCATCTACAATGAGTAGGAGTACAGGCTATACGAGAATGAATTTGATACAGATCACTTATTTAGTGTAAATACAATGTATCCTCTTCAATTACACGCTATATAAACTAGATACTTAGAAAACACTGTACAACGCAGCTGAGAAACTGTCGGTGATACTTTACAATATGTTACAACCACTCCTTGAAGCGAGACGAGCCTAACCGCGGCGGGATCTCTCCTTTCTCTTCTCGAAGAAAGCTCGAAGAAAAAGCACGGTTCGTGATCGGCCACGGCCAGGGCGTTCCCCAGTGACTCTACGTATTGACGTCTCACGCGGTCTGTAGGCCGTGTTTACAAACGGATCCCGGAAGCTATTCCACGCCTGCGATCGTTCTTTCGTCGACGACGTTTGCTTTCGTTCCAATCGCAAGAACGCGTACAAAGGCGTGTCTATCTTCCCTCTCCCTCTCTCTCTCTC